GTAGGGAATATGCAGCAATATGCAGCAATGCAGGGTTTCCAGTTCTCCTTTTAGACCAGAAATTGTTTGCGTGGTTTGGAGGGACCCTTGCCCGAGGGTGACCTGCGCACATGCAGACAGTTGGTAGACACCTCATTTATCTAATGTCAGCATCACCTTGGTACCTGGGGTTTCTAATCAGAGGGGCAAACTGGCTCTAGGGAAGGGTTTGTCCTAAGTCCTCAGACCCCCTTACAAGGGGAAGATTGTAAATACAGTTTGTCAATACACAAAACCAAAGTCTATTAGTCAGTTGTTACCTTGTGTGCGTTACCTCTGCAAAGAACATCAGTCTCACACTCGGCCTGAGACAAACATTAGTCACTGCTCTCCACGAATTCAAGGAAGAAGATTGTTTAACGAGCTCAGAGCCGTCTAAAGCTCTAGGCTTTTTCAATTTGCAGCTTATTAAGACGTTTCCTTCCATGAAGTTGAGAGAGAGCTTGTGTAAAGCACACAACAGCAAGTGCATTAAACCCAGGCTCACAAAACTGTCACGGTGCCAGGCTTTAGGGAACAGAGACATAAGGAAGTAAGAGGAACTGCCGATGACTGAGCACTTTCTCATTTAATACCTAATGATCAGGGGAGGTATTCTTATCTCCCTTTTACAAATGAATAAATAACACGAGGGTTACCCAGGTGGAGAGGTTGCCCAAGACAACACAGATGGTAATGGGTGTTATCAGATTTCAAACTCAGATTTATCTAATCAAAGTTGGGCTCATAAACCCTACACTGTCCCTCACAGGGAACCGTGAAACGAGGTGGAATGAGGTACTTACTATGAGAAGGGAGCAGTGTTTTCTGGAGTTCAAACGCGAGGAAATGGGAGGGAACAGGGGTCCCTGGTAAAAGAGATGCGGAAGACAGTGGGTGGAGGTGATTTCTGTGGGGTGCGGAGAAGACCAAGGGGGTGCCGAGGAGTGGAGGGTGTCACAGGAAATAAGGAATCCAAGACTGGATAAGGTGAAGCTGGAGGACACGGTGAGATGGGGGGAAGGGGGACTAACACAGTAAGGAAGGGGTAATAGAATATAAAGTATCTAATAAGTGGTCCTCAGCCTGTGGCTTGCCTATCCCTGGGCTTCACGGAGACTCCTTATCAGTAGTGGAGAACTGGGGAGGGAGATGGAGGCTCACTGAGGTGAAGTTTCTGAAAGCAAAGAGATGATAAATGAGATGAGGAGCCCTTTGGCTCAGGGAACATGAACAGAAACCTGCCTCTGCTGGGAGACACCCCAAGCCGGTCTGGGGGGCTGAGATGGACTTTCTCCTTGGGGAGCTCACAGGCCTTGAGGCCTCACTGTCAGTCGGGATTTCAGGGACCGCTTCCTGGGGCTCACGCATTTCAGGGCCACAACCCCTGGTGATGATTTTCTGTGTGTTCAGCTGTCTTGGCCCGGCCTTGTGTCCTGTCCTTGATGGCCTGTTCCTGTTTTATCAGGGGAGCTCTACTTCCTGGCCACCTCTTACCTGAGCGCCTACACACCGCATGGATCCATTTACAAATTTGTTGACCCATCGAGGTGAGACTTGGGTTACCTTTTCTTCTCAGGTGATTGGAGCTGTCTTTATCCCCATGGCAGGTCAGAAAAACAGTCCTCACTCCCCAAGAATTACCAGATATGATCAACGGAGCGTATCTTTCTTTTAGATGCAAAGCAGACTGGTCTGGGACTTCCCTGGTGGCGCAGTGGTTAACACTCTGAGCTCCCAATGCAGGGGGGCCGAGTTCGATCCCTGGTCAGGGAACTAGATGCCACATGCATGCTGCAACTAAGGAGCCAGTGAGTTTCAATTAAGGAGCCCACATGCCACAACTAAGACCCGGCGTAACCAAATAAATAAATTAAAACAAAAAAAAGCAGATTGGGTAGACAAATGTGCAGGACAATGCATCTGTAGCAATTATGGAATATTTGGGAAATGGTCTCTTTGTGGTTGGAAATGAGGATCTTGAGCCTTTCTAGGATGACTAGTCCAGACCTGTGGCTCCTGTCTTGTTTTTTTTTTTTTTTTTAATATGCTTCTGGAAACTTCTGTCTGGGATCATCTGACAGTGGGTGTACACCTCTGCCCACCTGAGTAGATATTGCCGCCCTGTCCCATGGGTTGGTCTTTGGCACATACAGTTGGCCCTCCGTATCCATGGATTCCACGTCTGTGGAGTCAACCAACTGTGGATCAAAAATATTTTTTAAAATTCCAGAAACTTACAGAAAGCAAAACTTGAACTTGCCATGCCCTGGCAACTATTTATGTAATATTTACAACTAATTACATAGCAGTTATATTTATTTACAATTATTTACATAGCATTTACATTGTGTTAGGTATCATAAGTAATCTAGAGATGATTTAAAGTATATGGAGAATGCGTAGGTTATATGCTGAACACCATACCATATTACATAAGGGATTTGAGCATCAGTGGGTTTTGGTATCTGTGAGGTCCTGGGACCAATCCCTGGGAGCTGTATCTAAAACTGTCAGGTTTCTCAGTGTCTCCACCTGATCCTTTCTGGAATTCAGTGACAGTATTTATTCACTTGGTAGACTCTATGATGTTTAACTCTGCTTCTCTGCCCACCTCTCTCAGAGACTAACCAACCTTCAACTCATCAGGCAAAAGCCATACTACAGCCTCACATTTGTGAGGTTGTTGAAGGTGTGTCCGTATCTGTCCCTGGGAGAGTGATGCAGTGTATCCATCCTGAGAGCTCTGGGCAGTGTGCGGGATTTATCTCAGGATTCTTACCCAAAGCCAGAAAGTCTCCCCATGAATCAGCTTGAAGGTAGACCTGCAGAGGAAGACTTCCCTGTGAGGCTTCTGTTACCATATCCGGGGTGGTGTTCAGGGGACATTTGCTGCTGGTGAGGGTTCAGAAGCCCAGCACAGCACAGCTCCCCTTGGCAACCGGGCTTGGGTTTGGTGTTCTCAGACGTTCCCAGAAGAGACTCAGTCCCTGAGGCTGTGCCCAGGGGCTCTCCTGGTGGAGTGCAGGGTTGTCAGGGGTGAATTAGGGACTGGCTGTCTCCACTGCTGGGTCTACTCCATGCAGATCTCCTGTGCTTGAGGGATGCAGCAAACCCAGGGTCTTTAAAGTGCTTCCAGAGGCTGAACGTGCCTGGGTGGGGAGTTTTCTGCTCTTTCTATCAACAGGTTTCCTATGTGAATCCCTTTTTCTTTCCTTTGACAGTTTCCTGATTTGGATGGGGGATAATTTAGCTTACCTCTAGTGGCATGAGAGGTCAATCATAAAGCAACTGTAAAGGCTGCTCCACGCTGAAGACACCCTTTCTCATGCACCTTTCTCTCAGTTGACATTTATGGAGTCATTTCTGTGTCCCAGGCACTGTGCTGGGTGCTGTGTGTGCAGGCTGACATTTGATGCTGACAGAATCCCAGTGAGACAGGGTAACACCCTCAATCTACAGATTAGGTAACTGAGCCTAGCTACCTTCAATCACTTGCCCGAGGTAGAGCTACTAAGAGGTGACAGAGGATAGGAACATATTCCTCTTTCTGGCTCAGTCATTTCAGCACTACCTATTCACTTCAGTTATAATGACGACTCGAATTGTACAAACTTCTGTAGCAGTGGGTCCAGATTCTGCTCTGCTTACTTCTTCGGCCCGTCTTTGCACTAAATGAACCCTCCCCAGCATTCTAAGGAGCAGTTGGTTTATTTACGTATGATTTTCCCCTTCCATCTTTTCCTTCTGCCCTTCCCTTAGAATCATAGACCCTGGATGCTGGGTTTGAATCTCAGCTTTACCACCAACTAGCCGGGAGTGTTCCTAGTCTGCAAAGTCCCTTTTATTTCAGAAGGTGCACCCAGGGGACAGCAGTTTGAGAATCAGAATACTAGGAGGCAGAGAGGCTGCCATTACTTAAGGGGCCGTGCCATGAGAATCTGAAGAGATTTTCTTTAAAGGGAATCACTTTTGTATATGCTGAGCACTGCTCCAGTCGTTTTTTAAAATCTCATTAAAAAAATAATTTAGGGCTTCCCTGGTGGCACAGTGGTTGAGAGTCCGCCTGCCAATGCAAGGGACACGGGTTCGTGCCCCGGTCCGGGAAGATCCCACATGCCGCAGGGAGGCTGGGCCCGTGGGCTATGGCCGCTGAGGCTGCGCGTCCGGAGCCTGTGCTCCGCAATGGGAGAGGCCACGGCGGTGAGAGGCCCGCGTACCGCAAAAGAGAAAAACCAAAAACGAAAACAAAAACAAACAAAAAAATAATTTAAAAAGTTACATATCAATCACTTATGGTGTGCCAAGCACACAGTTCTTATTTAATCCTCCCCGTCTCCCCGTGAGGATGGGTGATATTACTTTTTCTATTTTACAGAAGTGAAAATCGAAACTTAGCAAGGTTTACTTGCCCATGGTCCCCAGGATTTGTACCCTATTCTCTCTGTTGCCAAGCCCATGCTCCAATCCCCTCACCACACTGTCCCCGAAGTGCCTCACTACAGTGTCCCTGTGATGTCCATGTCCTTTCTCCTCTCTGTCTGAGCTCATCGCAGATTTCCTGTTACATCTGTCCCATCCCTATGGATAAGGGAGGGCTAAACCCAGTTCTTGCACACGTATGGCTTTTGGTGACCGGGATTTCGTGGTTCCATTTTCAGAGTCTTGTACCTGGAGTACCTGGAGTCTTGTACCTGCAGGCAAGTGCAAGCCAGTGCCGGTGAAAACCAAGAGTAAGCGGGTCCAGTTCAGGCCATTTGCTAGTGAGTCCCTCTCTGTCTTTAGGCTCAGGCCTTGGCATCCAGGTGCTGGCACAGTGCCCTCTGCAAACAGTGGCAATCCCGGGTGGCAGGTCTTATTTTCTCACCTAAGCCTTATCCTCTGGCTGAGGACTATTACCTGTGGTCTGTATGTCTCCTCTGTGTACCAGGGTGAGAGGGGGCAGCCCCTGCTTCTGCTGTGCCCTGCTGCCATTCATTCATTTGTTCATTCAAGTATTCATTCATTCATTTAGTACTTACTTTGTGGCAGTCCCTGTGCCAATCCCTGAGGATACAGCAGTGAACCTGACCTGTAGGAGTCTAGAATCAAAGGAGAGGAGGGCATGTAGTGCAGGCAAATGAAGAAATAAGTATAGCATTGAGGTTCTGGCTAGAAGCATGCCCAGGGGACTGAGAAGGCCCTCAGAGTGAGAACCTCTTCCTCCCGGGAGGGTAGTCAGGAAAGACTTACAGGGGAGGGACACTCTCTTAAGGGAACTATTCTAGAGCCATGCATCTCTGGAGTGATCCCATTACAAAAGTAATCTATTTAGATCAAGGCCAGGGAATTAAACATATTAACTTCAAAATAATTTATATTCAAGAACACTCAAGTGGGCATAGAATTCCTGGGCGGCCCTTCCCTTCGAGCTACTTTCCAGAACTTATATTTCTCCTAAATAAATGCTTGTTTCCCAGAAATGGTCTTGGACTTGCTAAAGGAGCAGTCCGAGGAAGCTGCTAGAAAACTGTCCAATGCAACTTTAGCTTCCAGTCCAGACCGGGCCTCATCTCAGAAAGGCTCCTCCAAGAAGCCGGCTTCTCCCACAAGCAGCAGGAAGACGTTTCCAAGGCCTGGTGCAAAGCAGAGAGCCAGAGCGTGGTCCCCAGGCCCCCAGGGGAAGAGGAGGAAGAGCCCGAGATGCCCCCGAGGTAGAGGCAGAGTCGGCACAGTGGAGGCGAGCTGGCAGAAGTGTCCCTCTGCCTCTTTGGTCACGGTGGCAGGTCAGGGGACGAGTGCCCAGAGAACCACCTTGCCATGCGGAAGCTGCTACTGCTGAAGGTGACCTTAGACGCATGGGAAGCCGGAGGTGGAGGTGGGAACCGGCGGAGAGAGCTTGATTTAGGCGGCACGGTTGTCCTGTCCACGGGAATTTTTCCATCTAAACGGATGCTCCTCGTCTGCTGCTGCGGGGTGACCAAACCCCATGTTGCCAGGGCACCTGGCTACTCATGTGCACTAGTCTGTAAACCTGCTTGGAATTCCACTATGTGTTTATGTTTTGCTTTGTAAATGCCTGTGACCTAAGGTAGTAAATCAACACTTGCTCCAATGGACAAGCTTCTTTGAGCTCGGAGAGCCCCTCTAAAATGGTCATCTCCTTTGCCCCCTTTAAAGATCAGGGTCTGAATAAGGTTAGGTCCTGTTCTGTACCTCCAGTGCCTATTATTTTGCCCTGGCAAATAGCATAATAAACGTGACTACTTTTTGCATACCTATTGTGTGCTAAGTTTATATATTATATTATCTGAAACCTCAAAACCTTGCTTCTTATGTGTTGCCATATAACTTATGTTGAAGGTGAGGGAAGTGAGGCTTGGTGAGGTTAAGCCATGTGCCCTAGACCACAGCAGTCAAGGAGCAGGGAATTGTTCAGCTGGACTTGAGCCAATGCCCCTGTCAACCTCCAGTGAACTTGCCTCCCTGGAGGGGCCTCAATGAGGGTTGGTGGCTTTTAACCAAGTATTTGAGGAATGAAAGGGCTAAGAGAGGAAATGACCCCTGTCTTCAAGAAGTTCTCCAAATTGTGCAAAGTGTCCAGAACGGTATAGGCAATTTGACTTAAGCAGAACAAAAACAAAAATGCCTGGGTTGTTAAGGACTTTTAGAGGTCACGTGATCCTTGCTTTAGATGAGGTTGGACATATCCTGGACAGGTTATTTTAGACTTCCAAAGAAGTAGATTCCATTTTTTTTCTTTAGCAAACTCCATTTGTAGGGTAACCTAACCTAATCTAAATACACCAAGACTCTCTGATTCTCTTCCTCTTGTTTTGTCTTTATTAAAGATGCAAAACACTGGTCATCACTTTCTGAAGATCATTTTTAGATCATCTCTTAGCTACCTTCCTTTGCCCTGTCTCATGGTTTTGCTTTGCTTTACTTTTGCCTACCTTTGTAGCTCTTATGAACACTCTAGTTGACTGAAAAAAATCGCACAATCTAAAAGTTGAGAATTATACTTTATTTGGCAGACTTACTGAGGACTACAGCACAGGATAGCAGCCTTTCAGGTAGCTCTGAGGGACTGTTCCAAAGAGGTAAGGGAGGAGCCAGGATATATGGGAGTTTTTGCTGAAAACAAACAGACAGACAAACAAACAAACAACATGTGGTTGAACATCAAAAGATTAATGCTAACCACAGCAAAGAGACATTTCAAGTTAAAGATTTTAGTGCTTTTCGATGTATGGGAAGATGCAAGAGTCTGGGCTCGCTGAAATTATTCCTTAGGTATGCATCTTAACTCTCTAGAGCCAGTCTCCTGTTTTTCTCCCTCCTGAATTCTCCTCAGGGTGCACTGTCAGGGGAGGCTGCAGTGGCTGATGGCTTGATAGCCACAACATCCTTTGTTTACTGAAATGGCAGGTGACATTCTTTGTACACACTCTCCAGGATAGAAATGAACTTCAGGGTCTGACCAACCCTGATATTTTACAGTTTTAGCTTCTCAGATGAAGATATCAACATAAAGATGGGAGGGCTTACACCCTGCATCATTTTGTTGAAAGATGGCTGGAAATCTTGGTGCAGTTCAGGGAGACTGGATCTAACCTCTGGAAAGAATATATGCGCTCACTCTGTCTCATTTTTTTTTCCTGTACAATCTTTCTTCAAAGACGTGTGGCAAAAATAGAATCTGGCTCTATTTCATGAATATAAATGCAAAAATCCTCAACAAAATATTAGCAAACTGAATCCAGCAGTACATAAGAAGGATCGTACAACATGATCAAGTTGGATTCATTCCAGAGTTGCAAGGATGGTTCAACATATGGAAATCAATCAATGTAATTTACCACATTAACAAAAGAAAAGACAAAAACCATATGATTTTCTCAATAGGTACAGAAAAAAGCATTTGATAAAATTCAGCATCCATTCATGATAAAGACTCTCACCAAAGTGGGTGCAGAGGGAACATATCTCAACAAAAGCCATGTATGACAAACCCACAGCCAACATGATACTCAATGGTGAAAAGCTGAAAGCCTTCCTGCTAAATTCAGGAACATGACAAGGATGCCCACTCTCACCACTTCTATTTAACATAGTATTGGAAGTTCTAGCCACAGCAATCAGACAAGAAAAACAAATAAAACGTATCCAAATTGGAAGGGAAGAGGTAAAATTGTCATTATTTGCAGATGACATGGTCCTCTATATAGAGAACCCTAAAGACTCCACACAAAAACTATTAGAACTAATAAATGAATTTAGCAAGGTAGCAGGATACAAGATTAAGTCACAAAAATCTGTTGTATTTTACACTAACAATGAAATACAGAAAGAGAAAGTAAAAAAAAAAAAAACCAAACTGTTTAAAATTGTGCTAAAAAAACCCCCCAAAAACCTAGGAATAAACTCAACCAAGGAGGTGAAAGATCTATATGTTGAAAACTTTAAAACATTGATAAAGAAAACTGAAGGTGATTCAAGAAATGGAAAGATATCCCATGCTCTTGAATTGGAAGAATTAATGTTGTTAAAATGGCCATACTACCCAAAGCAATTTACAGATTTAATGTGATCGCTATCGAAATAACCATGACATTTTTCTCAGAACTAGGACAAATAATCCTAAAATTTATATGGAACCACAAAAGGCCCAGAATTACCAAAGCAATCCTGAGGAAAAAGAACAAAGCTGGAGGTAAAACCCTCCCAAACATCAGACAATATTACAAAGCTACAGTAATCAAAACAGTGTGGTATTGGCACAAATCAGACATAGATTGATAGAATGGAATAGAAAGCCCAGAAATAAATTTACTTACCTATAGTCAATTAATCTATGACAAAGGGGGCAAGAATATACAATGGAGAAAAGACAGTCTCTTCAGCAGGTGTTGGGAAAGCTGGACAGCTCTATGTAAATCAATGAAATTGGAACACACCCTCACATCATATACAAAAATAAACTTGAAATAGTTCAAAGACCTAAATACAAGACATGACATCATAAAACTGCTAGAAGAGAACATAGGCAAACCATTCTCTGACATAAGTCATGGCAATATTTTCTTAGCTCAGTTTCCCAAGGCAAAAGCATTAAAAGCAAAAATTAAAAAATGGCGCCTAATCAAACTTAAAAGCTTTTGCACAGCAAAGGAAACCATCAACAAAACTAAAAGACAACCTATGAAATGGGAGAAAATATTTGCAAATGATGCGACTGACAAGGGGTTAATATCCAGAATATACAAACAGTTCACACAGCTCAATATCAAGAAAACAAACAATCCAATCAAAAAATGGGAAGAAGACCTAAACAGACATTTCTCCAAAGAAGACATACAGATGGCCAACAGGCATATGAAAAGATGCTCAACATCACTAATTATTAGAGAACTGCAAATCAAAACTACAATGAGGTATCACCTCACACTGGTTATTGAAAAGTCTACAATAATAAATGCTGGAGAGGATGTGGAGAAAAGGGAACCTTCTTACACTGTTGGTGGGAATGTAAATTGGTGCAACCGCTATGGATAACAGTGTGGAGGTTTCTTAGAAAACTAAAAACAGAGTTACAATATGATCCAGCAATCCCATTCCTGAGCATATACCCAGAAAAGATGAAAACTCTAATTTGGAAAGACACATGCACCCCAGTATTCATTGCAGCACTATTTACAATAACCAAGACATGGAAACAACCCAAATGCCCATCAACAGACAATTGGTTTAAGGACATGTGATATATATATATATATATATATAATATATATATGTATGTATACACACACATACACACAATGGACTATTAGTCATAAAAAAGAATGAAATATTGCCATTTGCAGCAATGTGAATGGACCTTGAGAATATTATACTAAGTGAAGTTAGGCAGAGAAAGACAAATACTATATGATATCACTTATACATGGAATCTAAAAAAATAATACAAATGAATCTATATATCAAACAGAAACAGATCGCAGACACAGAAAACAAACTTATGGTCACCAAAGGGAAAAGAAGGTGGGGAGGGATAAATTAGAGTATGGGATTAACAGATACAAACTGCTATACATAAAATAGATAAGCAACAAGGATTTATGTATAACACAGATGACTATATTCCATATCTTGTAATAACCTATAATGGAAAACAATCTGAAAAAAAAATATATAACTGAATCACTTTGCTGTACACCTGAAACTAACACAGTATTGTAAGTCAGCTATACTTCAATTAAAAAAAAAAAGGCTCTGGCCTGGAAGTGGGTTTTTTTGGTCATGCTTTTATTTAATTTAATGAATTTATTTATTTGGCCATGCTGGGCAGCTTGTGGGATCTTAGTTCCCCGACCAGGGATTGAACCTGCACCCTCAGCAGTGAAAGAGCAGAGTCCTAAACACTGGAAAATGTTTTGAGCCCTAGGAGAAAGGTGCTCAGAATTCATGTGTTAAAATAGAGGACCACATCCATCAAATTCAAGGCTTTCTGAACACAGCTTTTCAACAGGAGGATAGCGGGTCTAGAGAAGGGAACTGAACAGGTACCCTGAAATGCTGGGAACCTGGGGGAGAGGCAGGGTATTCCTCTCCGGCAAGGTGGCTTTATTTTTTGGAAGATGGCTGGCAATGCCTGTGAACTTTCATGAAGGGGTAGGACTGTGAGAAAACAACCACTAGGTCACAGCCAACGTGTATTCAACTTCCTTAGAGCCTGAGGAGTTGAAAGGTTCAGAAAAATGCACACATGCATGTGCTGGTTCTTTATAGAAACCGGCAGGAGGAGGGGGAAGAGGATGAAACATGAGGACTGGGAATGGCTGGAGGGAGATGGGACTGGATTGCATCTCTTTCTTACTAACTCTGTTACTTGATGACCATG